ATAAATGGGAAGGTCTGTGGCAGGGCCAAATATAGCACATTTTAAGAAAAGTTCCTAGTTGATTCTTATATATACCAAAGTGGGAGTAATTTATCATTCCTGGCGAGGAAGTAAACATCTGGCCTCCTTACGGGAGCATTTTGCTCCACTTTGGGAATACAGAGACTTTTTGTTGACTTCTGAACTTAGACCTTCAGGCAGGTGGAGTCTCATTCTACTGCTACGTTGGGTTTGTTTTTATTTTTTGAAAAGTTTCCATCTTTATCCATATCAGTCCATAACATTCTTGAGAAAGTTCATAATCTTTTTTGCACATCGGAGAACAGCCACATCTACAAAAATTGGTCTATTACTCTGTGAGGAACAAAATAGCCACTTAGGGCTGTTGCTTCAGGGCCCAAATAAGTGGCACAAGCTTTAGCCAACACCATCGTTTATCCCATCCTTTTAACTTTTATAGTTTTCAAAGTGCTTTCATTTCCATTCTTGCAGGAGAGAGGCTGTAATATGGACTTGACCTAGATGCTCCTCCATGAGGACACACAAGCCATCATTGTGAGGAGTTGCTGTTATTGGCCATAAAACTGTCTGTTTTCTTCCTGGATTCAGATTTGACAGTTCTGACAGTGTGCTGTCCCAGCTGTCCTATTTCACCCCGCCCCTTTTTTTCCCCAGATCTAATTTCTAAAACATAAATCAGTCAGCTCAGGTTGGATTGATTATGAATGTGCTTGGTTTATAAGAACGTTAATGGTCCTGACAACATTATACACATGCATTCACAGCCATTTTTTTCAAAAAAGATTATTTGAATATTAAAATCAGAACCTTCCAGATCTAGTTTTCATCAGCATGGTCCATTTGGTGCTAACCATCTCGGTAACAAAACTGTTCCCCAGTGTGCAACTCTTGTAAGTGAGATTTTCTGCTGAGTGATTTGAGATTATACTTGTAGACCAAACATATAAACAAAAATGTTGTAGGGTCTTATCTGAACTTTTTATTCCTGCTGTGAAATCAATTAAGTTAATAATTAAGTTAATCAATATTTCTAATTATTCATAAAATAGAATCATAATATATCAATGATCTTTATATTAAAAGCTATCTTCAGACATTTCTAAATAGGCTTTTAATAATTGCTTCTTTAAAACATTTATGACTTTTCTATTTCATATTCTAAATATTGCCAATATTATCTTGAAATGCTATCATACTGGTCTTGTTTTGTTTTTTTCAAGGACTGTGAGAGCCTTAAGATTAGGAAGAGCCTTTTGTTTTCTGCAGTGTTTTTTCACATATTGACTGTTCTTTTTTTGGTTTCTCACTGAAACCTCTGAAATGCCAAGCCTTTTTTATTTGTTCTGTGAGGAAAAAGCCATATTGAGCAGCTCCATTCTACACATGACTTTTACCATAAAAACGGGAATGTCAGCTAAATAGAAACTTTAGAAGCATCAGTTTTTCCATAACTTAAACATGATTTTATGAAAACATGAAAATGTTCAGAATAAAAAAAATGTTTCCTTATAAATAAATATAGTTTGAAGAAATATTTACACTTTGACTTAAGATATTTAATGTTCAGGTTTAGTCTTAAATGAAGTCAGATGAAACTGCCTGCTCTGAGGAAAACGATGTTTATGCAGGGATAAAAGTTTAATAGGGAAGGAGGAGAAAGAAAAATATGTTTATCACTACAGAGCTTCGTGAGACTTCTTCATGTGTATTACTCAGAAAACATATTTGCTCAGCCAAATCTTGTGTTTGATGGATATTTACTGTAGACAACCGAGCTCCTAAACAGAAAATAAATTGCTAGATGTTTCCATCCTCTGCTTCTTCCAAGGGGAACAAGTGATTCCAAACATTTGGAAAAATTTCTTTGAACCTGAGACTGACTAGTTGTTTCTGAATACTCTCTCATCTAGTGTTCTTACTCCATTCTTACTCTATTCCTTAATGTTGAATATAGTATTTATAGAATTCAGAGTCTTGGGTAAACTATTTAAAACCTTCTTTTCCTCCAAAAAGTTAATATTTTCTCTTCTGTCATGTTTACAGATTTCACATAGTTTAGAATGATACAACTCTTACTCTTCAAGAGCAGTTAAAAACCATGTGGTCCCAGCTTCAAGAGATATTGTCATTATTCCAAGGCATTCTTCTGAAAATGAAACAGTTAAAGTATCCATTTAAGATTTAGCTACACTAAACTAAGTTTTATGGCGATAGTTTTCCTTTGATTTTACTTGTGGGTTAGCTCAAACCACCCATTTGTTTTGAAATATTATCAAAGTGTAGTGTTCTGTGCATTTAGCCTGTTTAAGAATGAATGTAATTTGGACTTTTCCCGTTTCTCTTCAGCACTTAGAATATTTGTGTCGAGTGAAGCTCTAGAAATACGCTCAAAATGCTGATAGTGAAGTCCTAATAGAGAATTTATATTTGCTTGTTTTATTAGTGATCTGTGACCTTTACCTAATTACCTCAGGTGCAAGATCTAATCAAAGATATCCTGCAATTAATGAAATTGGAAGTAATAAAACAATGCAAGGAATTTTATTGAGAGGCCCTTAATAATATTACTTCCTTCCATCAGCAATTTTTAATCTAGTTCTTTATTTTTAATTGGATGGTATACGAAGTTTTGATTCTTTATGGAAATACTTTATGATTTAGTACAGTGTGAGAAAGAATACTTTAAAAAGTTATATCTCTTCTGTGTAAACCCGAATATCTATTCAGGATTGCATGGGAACATTTAATTTTGTAATGGTATTTGCTTTAGAGTTGAAACACTATGAACTATGTTCTTTTGAATTTCCCATGTGGCCTAAAACTAACAGATTATTAGCAAATAACTTTTTAAAATTAAAATGGAAAAACTGCGCTCATATATTAAATTTCCAAAGGTGGAAAGGGTGTACTGTGTTCTGTGTGTAACTTGTAAGACTAATTGTAATTTTTTTCACATGTGATATTACCAACCTGCAATATATATATATTAAAATTCTTGTGGCCTGAATACTATATATTAGTATATAGTATATAAAATGTATATATAATTTAGGCCATCAGGCCACAAGAATTTTAATCAGCATGCTGATTAAAAAAGGAAATTCTCTCCCCAGTATCTATACAATTTAGGGAAGCTGCATTGATCGCTGATACCTGGTCTTATCATCAGAGACATGGCAGGTGTGGAGACTATGATGAAGATAATGTAGACTAAGTACCGACCAGCAGCATGCCTTAGACATAGTTAGATGCTCAATGATATCGGTTCTTTTCCCTAATGAAGAAAATCTAATATATCCTAATACCTTTTGTTAAGCAATTTATTTACATGTGTATATGTGTTTGTATGCACCTATACATATGCTTTGTGGTTTAGGGTTGGGTGATTCTGAGGCTCCATCTATTTATTTCCAAGATTAATATTTAATCCAGGATAAAAGTCAGTTAGTGTCATGCAATTAGACTTGTAGGGTATTTCCTATACATATTTGCTTGCATTGGTTTACTGGTTCAATGACAAGTTAAGAATATCTTCTTGTAGTAGATGAGGCCAGTTTTCACAAAAGCATATCTGGAATGAGGTTTTGTGTGGCAGAGTCTCCATGAAGCAGCATTTTGAAACTGAAGTTTCCAAAATAGAATGCTCTGTTCTTCATTAAGAAGGTAGTGAGGGGTAATTATCATTCATGATTAGGATCTAGAAAAAATGCACAGAAAGAGATACAGGCTGGAGAGGGAAAATTCCAGCCTTTGGGACACTTAAAGGTACCCAGTACATTTTGACCCAACCATTAAAAATCAGCTATTACTGAATCATCACCAAGATCAATTTATACACTTGGGAATGCTGATTGACCAAAGCGATGTGAAAGAGATTAAAGTAAGACCAGGCAGTGTGCCTGGGTAAATTCACATTCCCATCTCTCTAATAATCACTGGAATAGAATAGCAGGTCTAAGTCATAACTATAAAGAGATATTGATTATGAATAAAATCAGTTCTAGCTCTATTGAAAAGAAAGCGAACAGAATTTTGCATTGCTTTGATTTAGACTCTGTGAAAAAAACATCACTATCATTTGGAAAAAAAAAAAAGGAACCTACAAATAACAAGCAGGCAGGAAGGAAAGACAATTGCAGACAAGTTAAAATCTGTAGACTACATACAATGCTCATTGGGGAGTCTTTATCCGAAAGTGTAATAGTTGTAACAATTAAGCTTACGGAAATGTTCCCAATTTTTAAGCTAGAGTCAGTTAGAAGGATTCATTCACTTGACATGGCTCAATGGTTTATATACAAGGATGCTTGCTCAAAAAGGATTTTCTTCCTTAAAAGTTTCAGAGAAAAAAAATAAAACCTTATTTTAACTCCTTGGACTTGACTTGGATATACTTTTCAATATTAATTATGTGTTAGTTTATGTCTTCACAGTTATGTAATTTGAATATTCCTCATGTCTCATCCATCATTTAGGAGGCTCGAAGAGTTGAGGAGAGGTGGATTTGTCTAAAAATTAAACCTAAATTTCCTCATAATTTGTCATTTTGGCTATTTTGAGGTTTATTTTATATTAAAGTTGAATGATTACCATCTATTGTGTAAGATATAAAAATCATCTCAGAATTGTATAAGCATTATGACCTGTGTTTTTGTTTTACTACAGTGAACATATTTGTCCAAACTCTCATTTTTACTCAATAAATAAAATTATTTTTTTCTGTTTTTCTCTGTAGTCTCAGAGAGTCATGAAACAGCACTGTACTTTGTTGAAATGCTAAGTACAAACATTTGCATTACCAAATGTATAATAATTTGGGGACAGTTAAGAAATCACATTTGACAGTGTTATTGTGACTAATGTAGATTGATGTCTAGATTTTATCTAAACATCATAGGCCCCCAAAATAAAGTGAATTTCTCAAATTAAATGGGAAGGGCTATACTTTCAATTTCCACCTTTTGGCTGTGTTCCAGGTCTGCTTCACTTTTTTGTGATATCAGAATTAAAATACAGTCATTCTCATGGCTTAAAGTATTTTGGGTTAGGACTTGTTGGAGCACTGGCAAAGATTTTATCTGCTCTTTCTTCACTGTGATTATTGGCCTTTTCCTCTCTGGGGCTGCATGGATTTACTTTGTGGTCCATTTTCTTCTAATTCATGAATCAACTTTGGCTAAAGGTTATTTCAGAAGCCAGGCAGGTGTCATCAAAAGACACTTTCGTAGCAGACAAATAATTGTCAGTAGCAGTGATATCATCAAGCTCTGTGCTGAAATGATCTGACTCCTTAATGACACTGTAATTTAGAGCCACACTGTAGTTAGCGGGTTTCTCCGTTGGCTTCTGCTTACAGTTGCAGAGTTTTCTGAAGGCTGCTCGGAATTTCTGGGACATGAGATTGTAAATCACTGGGTTGATGGCGCTGTTGAGATAAATGCAAATTCTGCAAAAGAGTAAGAACCAATTTTCTTGGAAAGGGCTGGAGAGAAATGAGTTGACAACCACAAGAGTCCGGTAAGGCATCCATAAAAGGGCAAACAGAATTACAACCACTGCCAGCATCTTGGTGACCTATGGAGAGAGAAATAGAGACAAATGCCGTGCAAACACAAAGGAGAACAAAGCAAAGCAGGAAAATGAAATCAACCCCCATATCCCCCCTCCCCAATATTTATTTCCCAAGATGTAGTCTGAGAAAAAGATTTGAGTATAGGCAGTTTATTTGGGAGATGGTCCCACGAAGCTGTATAGAGGTATAGAGGAGAGGGAGATTGAGTAGGAAAAGCCAAAATAGGGTGTTGAGACTGCTCCCATGGTAGGCAACTGCCCACATCAAGTAGGGCACTGCAGGGTTATCTATCCAGAGGAAGAGAGGTTGGGGCATTTATCCACTGGCTACTATCTCCTCTTTGTAGAGGGGTGCCCTGGGGGACTTTAACAGCACTGCACTTCTAGGATTCTCCAGCCTGGAAACTCCTGGGGGCTTTAGAGAGAACCTTGAGGCAGAGAAGAGGATAGATAAGCAGGGGACAGTGGATACCTGAAGTGGGATGTCCTCTGCATGCAAAACCATCATTGTAGCTATGGCTGAAATCAGAGTCCGCCTAAGAGGATGTGACACAAGGCACTAAAAGTGTCTGTGACAAGTATTAGGAGACCTAGGGTTTAATCCCATCTTTATTTACCTATATGTGGTCCTGAGAAATGATCATAACCTTTCTTACAGGTTGCCTGTACCACCAAGCCAGTATTACTCCCCTATATCAAATGAGGTAACACAGTAGTTTGAAAAGGATGCAGTGTCTTAAGCAAAAAAGCCAATAATGATTGACTGTCTATGTTCCAGACACTATACGATATTCTTTACATATGCTACCACATTTAAAAAGCTTAGAATCCTCCAAGATAGGCATCACATCCTTCATTTTTCAAGTTAGAAAATGGAGGTACCCATGCTGGTAAGTACTTTGGCGGGAGTTGTAGAGTCTTAGCGCCGGGATTGGAATCCAAGTCTGGGGATCCAAGCTTCTGCCTTCCCACTGCACAACTTTCCTTCAGGGTGAAGGGAGGCGGATGTCAGAGAAAACAAACTCTGGGATTTACTGTAGTCCTAACTACAAGCAGCGCACAGGAGCTAGGACAATAGGCAGGATGAGGTTTAATATCCAAGAATGCCCAGGGACAAGACCACCATCAAAATAAATAAGTGAGCAGGTTCTTCTCTCACCTCTGCACTCAGGGAAAGGCTGGGGATGGGCCTGAGCTCAGAGTTAAATCACCTGGCTTTGCCTTTATAAGTGTTTTTCTAAGACCTTAATAAAAGTCATTCACCTGTACTTCCATTTCTACATCTGGAAATATATCTGGTCATATTGCTTCATTTACTTACAGGAACATTGAGGAAATAAAATAATGGGAGAAGGGCTTTGAAACTTTAAAACACAATGAGCATATTACCCGTTGACTGATGACAATATAAAGAGACTATAGTATTTCAATTATAGGAAGGGTGTATTAAAACTGTAGCAGTGATTATCTTTGGGTGGGAGAGATAATAACTAATTCCTTTTCTTCAAGAGCAACACTTGACACATTTACCACTGACATCAAAGGCTTAATTCTGAGCTTTGGAAGGAGCTATAGTAATTATTATCTTTATCGTCATCATCATCTCTCACACCCCTGCCTTTGTCCTCTGCCTAGTACTCCAGCTTCCCTGACATCAGATCACTGTTTCATACTTGCCAGTATCTTCCCTCTCCTTGCCAAGGACTGAGCATCCCGCTTTGGAATTCCTGGCTTGATTTACAGTTAGGCTGCTTCCATCACATTTGAGTCCCTCATGATGCCCCGTCACAAAGATATGTAAACATTATCTTACTTAATACTTATAATAACTCTACATGTAAGCTACTATTAGCTCTATTCTGCATATGAAGAGATCGGGGTTTAGAGAGTGTATGTGATTTGTCTAAAGACACATGCATATAGGTGTCGGAGGAGTAATCCAACCTAAGCCTACTTAAGTCACAGCCTGTCCCCTTTCCTTTATACTTTGCTCTCTAGGAAAGTCGTTTGCATTTCAGTGATGAGGTTTCTACTGTGTCATCCCCACCATAGTTGCCAAAACATTTAACTTCTTCTAAGTATAAATCCAAAACACTTATTGTTGCTAAATTTCTAAACTTCAAGGTTGAATTTCTTCTAGCTTTATATTTTTTTCTACAGTTGTCAGGTGAAACATAGAATCCACAGTTAATATCTACCCATCTTTCAGTAAATGTCAGTGAGGGAGCAATTTTCATTGTCTCAAAGAAAAACAACCTCTTTGGAGGTTAGTTTCTCTGCTATGTGCTTTCACAGCTTCCCCCCTCCAAAACAAAACAAAACAACAAAAAACAACCTATTTCGAGGTTAGCTTCTCTGCTTTGAGCGTCCACTGCTCCCTGCACCTCCCTATGTATATTCTCGAACTTTACTGCAATGAGCTATGTTTGTCCATCGCTCCAATATACAGTGAGCTTCTTCAGGACATGGGTAAGTTTATTCATTTCTCTGTCCTCAGGGATTCAGTACAGGAGGTGAAATAAAATACCCCTCAGTAAATGTTAAATAAATTCAAGCATGGAAAGAATTATTTCAAACTATTTAACCATGATCTTTCTCTGGGTTTCAGTACTCCAACATATTATCAGAAGATTTTTGCAAATAATTTTATTTTTTACTATTAAAAATACCTTATAAATGGAGACTGGTTAATTTGCAAAATGAGTTCTTAATACATTTCAGCTTTTTATTTGAAATATATTTTTAAAAATTTAAGGAGGTGTGAAATGAAACAAATATATGATTTTCTAAGATAGACCCATAGAAAAATATGTCTCTGGTGGAATGATACAGAATACATTTAATCCCACTCATAATTATTTTTAGTTGATTTCAAATATCTTTGATTGAACTTAATCCATTTCTAAAATGTTCACAAGTTTTTCGAGTAGCCAGAGCTTGGGTTTTAACAGCTCTTACTCAATATGGGAGCAAACACACAGAAAGGAAATGTCCTGAAGATTGTCTTTCATACCCAATTAATTTCACGGCGGTTGCTAAAGTTTCATTTTTGTTGTTATCCTTATCTGAAATAAAGTGACAAAAATGCAAATTTGAAAATATCTTTCGGCCATCGTTTTTAAGCATTTCCATTTTTGCCAGAGTAATGCATGGGATATGGGATGATATGAAAAACTGGCTTCTTTACAGCAGCCTCTGCCCCCAGGACATAAGCGTCCTTGAGAAACAGCATGACACAGTCATCAAGGGGAAATGATCTTACAATATATTTTTGATTGGGAAGGGATTTCCCAATCCTATTCATTGTAGGAGGTCCATTTGCATCACTACTGTGTGTCTGTCAGTGTCCTGATCCTTGAGGATCTGATGGTGATCCAGAGAGCCATTGCCAATGGTTTCATGTAATTACGATCTGATGGGTAGTTATAATACAATGAGATAAACTCTAAGACAGAGGAAATTTTGGGTTCTATGAGAGCACCTGATCTGGACTTGGAGTTGGGGGATGGATAATGAGAGCGTTCCAATTTCACTGACATCTAAGCCAAAATCTGAAGGTAAAGAGAGGCAGGAAGAGTGGTCCTGCAGAGATTTGGTGTGTGTGATGAGGAGGAGGCATGAGACAGCAGGGCACATCATGGGGACCAGAAATAATTTGGTATGCCAGTTCCAATTGCAGACCATGTAAAGAAGTGGAGCTACCGCTTTCTCTAGCAAGCTTGTGGAAACCATTACAAAAGCCATCATTTTTATATGATGAAGTGATGTCACACTCTAAGGCGTGCTTGGCCTCCCGTTGCTAGGACAGAAGGAGAGATGCAGCTGCCAAAGGCAATAGAGCTGCAAGGCAGAGTGTTTTCTGATAATTTCAGCTCCATGGAACCATTTTAGTCCACCAGGAAGTAGACAGCCATTTGTGTAGAGTATATTGAAGGCAAAGAAAGGAGGCTGTAAAAATCAGTTGATTAAAATATAGCGTTTAAAGAGAGAGATTGCCAGCAGAGATGGTTGAGAAGAGCAGAGTGGGAAAAGGAAGTTCGAAGAGCCAGTGAGCTTCTGTCCTTATGGTAGAGGATTATCTTTTCTTTGTTGTGTGTGAGGATCAGCTTGAAATTTTGAAGTCAAGCCCTATTATATGTGTTTTACTCTTCACTTAATTATGTGGAATATTGGTATGTAGTTCTCATAAGACTTTGGAGTCAGTCCTTTTCAACTCATCCTTTTGTCAACTTTATAAAACCTCTAGATAAAGACCCTATTTAGGGATTTCTTTTCTTCCTTTTTTTTTTTCTTAAATGTGAGCTGGATCAGTTTCTATCTGATTGTTAAAGTTGAAATTATGGTTCCTTGAGTGGGCGTAATCTCAGCTATGCATATGTGTGCTATATGTGAAAGACCAGAAGCTAACTAAGTTTTCCATTCTAGCCTGCTGAGCAACCTTGCTTTACTAACTACTATCACTGTTACTAGTATTATGCTTTTACTATAAGTTCTGACACTATTAACAAACATTTATATATTGCTTTTTAAAAAAAAGTGTTGCATTTATAGAAAAGATGATAGTTTTCACACAACCCACATCAAAGTCCCCCTACTATTAAAATCTTACATTACTATGGTGCATTTGTCACAATTAATGAACCAATACTAATAATTTTTATATGGAGTTAGCACCATACTTTATTCAGATTTCATTAGTTTTCCCCTAATGCCTTTTTCTGTTTCAGGATGCTATCCTGGATATCACATTATATTTAGTCATCACATCTTAGTTTCTTTGAGTTGTGAAAATTTCTATAACTTTTCTTATCTTTGATAGCCATAATAGCTTTGAGGAATATTGGTTTGGTATTTTATAGACTACCTCTCAATTTGATTATGGCTGATGTTTTTCTAATAGTTAGTATAAAGTTATGGATTTTTGGAGGAAAGCCACAGAGGTGGAGTGCAATTGAAAACAATATATATCAAGGGTGCATTCTGTCAACTTGATTTGTGACTAA